GATTTGAACCGATGTGCTTTGTGTTTCCGCAAAATTATTAAGCCAAGCTAGTTAAGCCTGGGATAATTTCTTATAGTTGCTTAAAGAAATTGTCGCGTTTGCAAAGTTGTATTTTCCAAAATGACGTGAAGTGTGCGTATTTCGCTCTGCATTATATTTTTGAAGACAATGTACCTTAATGTCACTCTACTCCCTCAGTAACACGCCAAGAATCTTGAAAATAATTTCCCAATATCACAAAATCACGCCCATAACGTTAAATACATCGTAGCAGTATATTCGGATTCTAGCGCAGTGGTACTTATCCTGCGCATGGGCCAAAAATCGGTTATGTTACGGCAGGTTAGGTCATGTAGCGTTAGCAACTAGAGCACTGGGGTAATTTTTTAGAGTTATTTATATTAACATTTTATAATAACATTCGCCTTTGAAAAGTTATATTTTCTAAATTGACATCAGGTATGCTTATTTGATTCTGCATCGTCTCTTGGGAGACAATGTGTGTTTATGTCACACCACTCCCTCAACAGAACGCCCAGAATCTTGAAAATAATTTCCCAATATCCCAAAGTCGTGTCCATAATGTTAAATCCATCGTAGCCATATGTTCGGATTCTCGCGCATGCGCAGTGGTACTTATCCTGTGCAAGGGCCGAAAGTCGGTCATGTTATTGCAGGTGAGGTCATGTAGTGTTAGCATGTTTAGCATATTCTGGTATATTTTTTTAGAATTTTTTAAAATAACTTTCACGTTTGAGAAAATATATTTTTTAAGATAACGTCAAGTGTGCTTATTGCGCTCTGCATTGTCTTCTGGGTGACAATGTATGTTGTCACTGTACCCCTTAGAGCATATATATATGGAGGGAGAATGCTGACACAAAAGTGTGTTCAAGATGTGTGCGAGAGAATAAACTATACGTTCCTATTCGTCCTCTGTGTGTTGAAGTTAACAGGTTAGGTTATAGAGTTGACTGGAGATAGAAGTTATTTATTTTCTTCTCATAGAGCTCTGAAAATTTTTTTAGAATTTTGTATTAACTTTCTAGTACTTCAAGAAAATGCAAGAAAACGCAAGAAAATGCAGTACTAAAAAGTTAATACAAAATTCTAAAAAAATTTTCAGAGCTCTATGAGAAGAAAATAAATAATTTTTATCTCTTGCTATTTTTCGGTAAAGTTGATAAAATTCAAATAAAAAAATATTGAAACTAATAATTTTGTAGTCTAACAACTAACGCATGTTAGCGCATGCGCACAGAGGATGAATAAGAATGTATACCTTTCTTTCTCGCAAACATCTCGGACACACTTTTGGACTATAGAAGGCATATGCAATTCCCCTTCCATATATATATATATATATATAT